GTAAAACGGTTGAAACACACAGAACAGGACTGAAGGAGCTCCGATCTGCTGCCACATACAAGATGGCGGACGCTGTTACCTACGACTCAGTGCTCAGTGAGGCGTCTAGTATTCATGTCTGGTCTCCTCTACCTTTAGTTCCTAACTCATATCTGTATGTTTAAACACATTATTGTTGTGGGAATATTTATATTCTAGGCCTGGGTGATAAATCAAGTGAATTGATTCATCAAATTTTCTGATTTTGAAGATGAAACTTTTTCACCACGCCTCGTGTTGCCACAGTTCAGAGTGAAGGCAGAACTCTTGTTTGACAAATGCTTCTATTTATTTTTTTAGATTTTGAATTCAGATCAACTCACAGAAGGAATGATCAAAATAAAAGAACATCTTTTAAAAATAATTTGTGTTACCAAATAAAATTTAATTTGGAGAAAAAAAAGTGATTTTATTTTTAAGCCATATCGCCCAGCCCGAGTATGTCTCTATCCACACTATCGATGTTTCTATCTGCTCCACCGTTCAGACGACAAAAACACCACAGGAAATTACACTATATAGCTGTGGATGCTAGCCTTAGCATGCTACCGTTAGCCTGCTGTTTCTAGATGTTGCTGGAAATCCAGAGGCATGTTCCCAGATCCCAAACTTCTGGCCTCTCTCTTCTTCAGGTCCCCAGCGAGGATGTGGCAGTGAGCATGCTCAGTGCGCTGATTGTCACCATGGAGTCAGTGGGTAGCAGCCCGGCCTGCAGCGAACAGAAAAACTGTACAGCCGACGATGAATCCAAAGACTACTGCTACTCAGCCCGCATCCGCAGCACGGTGCTGCAGGGGCTGCCATTCGGAGGCGTGCCCACTGTGCTCGCCCTGGACTTCATGTGCTTCCTGGTGAGCCTGTCAACGCTACGCCAAGCAGCATGTTAGCAGAGCTGTTGGCTGAGTGTAAGCGGAGCAGTTAGCAGAGCATTAGCAGAGCAATAGCAGGTGGTGGATGTCAGCTTCTGATTCTGAAATGCTGCTCAGAAGGTTTCAGCGAGGGAATCGTGTTTCTCTGGTTGGATCAGTTAAATGTGTCGATATGCTAGAAAAGCTGCATTTCTGTCTAAATTTCTGTTAATAACAAGCAGAGCAAATGGCTCCATGTTCTCAGCTGGTTGTGTTGCACAGAATGCAGTGAAAAAATACCCTCAGCTGAAAGCTAGCCAACTTTGGAGAAGGAAAAGAGAAAGGGTTCAATCTGGATAACCTACATCTAGCTCCATATTCATCTCTACATGCTCCTCTTCATCATTCTCTTTTTCTTCAGGTGCTCCTCTTCGTCTTCTCCATCCTGAGGAAGGTTGCATGGGATTATGGCCGCCTGGCGCTGGTCACAGATGCAGACAGGTAAGCAGGAAGTGACTGGTTCCTGTGGTCTCAGCGGTGCCCCCTAGTGGTTGGGCTGCTGGAGTGTAAATGTCTCTGGAGAACACTGGGTTGAGGATCAGGATCGCCTGGAGAAGCAGGAGATTCTGGTTCAGTAACCTTTCCTCATCTTCCTGTTTTTCCCTCTTGAAGACTGAAGAAGCGTTTCAGCGACCTGGAGGAGCAGGAATAGTATGTTGCTGCCTGTCGGCTGTTTGGTTTGTCCGTTAACTCCTCCTCCTCCGTCTGCTGCTCCCATTAACAGGATGCTGCGCTCTGATTGGTCTACTAGCACATCTGGCTCCTTCTCATCCTATCAGACGTTCTGCTCACTAATGAGTGACTTTTGGCCCTGCTAACCCTCCATACTCTGTATGTGTGTGTAATGAAGCTAACGCTGCACTCCTCTCTCCATCTTTAACTCAGCCGCAGACGAGACACAGATAACTATGAGCCGGTGAAAAGGTAACGGCTGCTGCTGCAGCTCAGTGTGTGGTGACCCCTTGGTGACCCCGTGGTAGTCAGTAGGTTAGACCTCAGTGTGCCTTGGGCCGAGTCAGAACCGGGTAGATCATGTCTGAACTCAGAACCCGCCTGCTAGCTTCCACACTGGGAGGCGCAAAGGAGTTCATGGTTCCTGCAGGTCGGTCCCTGGAAGGACGGTCAGGAAACCCTGTACATCTGGTCACAGCAGGGAAGTGGGCGGGCCTATCTGGAAAGGTTTTCTGAATTTCTTTATGTTGTTGGTGAATTTTTAAACTTTTAGCTCAACATTTTCATGTTTTCATTCGCCTGAAATTTGATCCACATCTTCATCGTTAAATCTGGGGTCGGCCTTTAGGGGGCACAGTCTTAGTTCCTGTCCCTTTGGGGCCGTTTGTCCTGAGGTCTCAGACCCTGAAGCAGCTCCGTCTGTGTCTCCCTCCTCGTGTCAGTCTGAGGGAACCAGCTTTCAGGCATAGAGGTCAAAGGTCAGGCAGCTACATGCTAACTGGCTCCTTCCTGTCTGTTTGCAGCGTTGCCTCAGCGATGCACTCGGAGACTCCGGATCGCTACGAACGGCTCACCTCGGTGTCCAGCTCTGTGGACTTTGACCAGAGAGACAACGTAAGGATGTCTTCATCACTCCTCCTCCTCCTCACCATCATCTGAATCTTAACGGCCTCCTTCTTGGAGTTTCCTCCAGGTTCTGATCTTATTCTGGGGTCCGATTAGTTTCCCTGCTGTCATGTTCGCCTATAAAACTCAGCCTTCAGTACAGACCAGACCCATTAGCCTAGCTTAGCATAATGCTGTAAACAGGGGGAACCGTTAGCCTAGCTTAGCATAATGCTGTAAACAGGGGGAACCGTTAGCCTAGCTTAGCATAA